GTAAAATTCAAAAATTTATGATTAAGCTATTAAAATTAATGAATTGATTAAAACCATGACGCGAATGACACGAAACAATTTTTACATTCGTGTCACGTGATTGTATGTAACATCAACCACACAATAACGTGAATATGCATATTCTGTCTATTTGCATAAAAACTCATCAGTCCCAACAGTATGCAAATAGACAGGTGCGACTGTATTAATAAATATTAATATTATGCAGATCTTTTCACATTTTTGTTGTTTGAAACTTTAAAAGAAAATAACTCAGAATTTTATTATGCAAAGTGGATATTGTTTCTAAGCCAGAAATGTTCTGCATAAAAATTACATATAAGAGTTGTATTAAATCAAAATTTCTTTCCAAGCTAAAAACAAACCAATCTGGCCCTCATATATATATTATTTAATTTTAGAGCTATTTCTATAAATTTAAATTAGAAAGATAGCCAGGAGCTCGGAGATTTATTTAGTAAAATTTAAAGTAGAAATTTAGATATAAAATATTGTGTTATTTCCACAGCAGCTCCAGATTATGGACACTAATAGATTTTACTATGATACTTATCCCCGAATTTTACTATGTTGATCCTTTCCTTCATTGATGGATCACAAATTAATTCCTTATTGAAAAGAAGATAAAACTATTAATATCATACCGTTTTCTCTTTAAATGTGATATATTCAGCTTTACATTTCTTTAAAGCATCCAAGATATTCAATTCTTCTTGCTTGAAAAAATGCTTTGCTTCATCATTATCAATTATAATCATTAATTCTGAAATATGCATGCCTGTATGCCTATTATCAATACTTCTCCAGTAGCTTTTTTGTTGAATTTTTGCTGGATATGCAACCAATATTCGAATCCAAAAGATACCATTATTTCTTGCTTTCTTAAACTTTTTATCAATAATTTCAATAATTTTCTTTCTCTTTTCTTGGTTTACAGATGGCTCATTTGTGAAATTTGGTTCATCATAACCTAATTCATTTTCTTTCTTTTGATATGCATAAAATGCATTAGGATCTGTTGTTCTAATGGCTTTTGCTGGTTTTATATTCACTGATAGTTTTGCTTGAACAAAAACTGGTACATCTATATAGTTTTCATCAGGACCTTTAAATTGAACTATAAAAACCAAATCTGGACCAGCTGTATCTTCTGGAACAAAGAATGTTGAGTTTGGAGATTCAAGAAATTGATCCAGACCAAAATCTTCATCACCTTGTTCACAAAGAATTATTTTATAGTCTGGTCTAACAATTGTTATAGGATAGGAAAAAACTTCTGGACATTGATCAATGCCAATGGCCTTTTTAACAATACCATTATTTGATAAAATGCTTTCATTGAACATTTGTGTAAGTGGTTTTATTAAAAATATTTCAAAAAGTCGACCACAGTGTGATGGAAATTGGAAATTATGACACATTTCTTTTAACAATGGATTATAAGATTTATCTTTTGATTCCATATATTTAATGAATGCCATAACACATAGTGGTTCTGATAGTTGTGCAAATGCTGTTACTCCTTCTTACTCTGTATTCAGTTGAATGCTTTTTAACTCTCCAAACCCAACTTCAATGATCTTCAATGAATCCTTTTTAAAATAACAGGATGATCATAGTAATAATAGCTAATCACCATATTATTTACAGTTTCCCATATATCTATATTATGACTTAATTTTTCAATTTTTTTTTCTAAAGATGTTATAATATATTGTTTTGTTAAGTGTAACCATCTTTCTATTCCATCATCAATTGTGCAATGTTCTTCATTTTTTAATATAACTTCCAGAAACTTAATAGTAAAACGATATCAGCCTTGCATAATGATAAAAAATTTTTCCAATTGTTTTTTGATAAGGGTAAGAAATTTTGGATAAAGTCATGCATTTCATTTATATTCTTAAATCCACCAATAACACCAAAAAAATCTTCAGTAGTAAGAAGTCCACCCGATTTAGAACAAAGCTACCTGAACTCTTCTCAATGGCTTCCACTTTTAATCCTGTCCCAGACATGATGACACTAACATTATTCATATAAAGCCATTCAATTGAACGAAGTAAAATTGTATACAATGGTCTTTTAGTGTTATGATCTGATTAATGAAACTTATCTTTGTATACTTCAATAGCATTTTGAGTTTCATCAAATATAACTGGCCTTCATTTTTGATTATTAATGTTGTTAGTTAATTTTTCTATTTTTTGAAGTTTATTTTTTATAAAATTTTCAATTTCATTATTTGTATAATCTTGAAATACTTTTGAAAGCTCTACCCAAAAATCATCATGTCCTATGTCAATATTAGAGGGTAAAATCTGTAATAACAACCACTTTCTTGGCTCTAAAAACTCTCCTTGAGCTTTAGCTTTTTTAAGAAGTTTTGACAAAATAAACAAACAAGCTGCCAATGCACAATGAATATACTTTAAGAGCCATATCAGTATTTGCCCTTGGATCATCTTTCTGAAATTCACGACCCATTTCATGGATAGCCACATTCAAGTCTTTGGGTCCAGGGTTGTCATGACCTGCAAGCATTGTAAAATAGATACCATACACTTGACATAGCAATTCAAACAAGCTACGAGTCTTCCCACTTCTACACAATTTTTCTCAAAATCATTAGCATCACAGAATGGTATTTGTTATTATACATATAATTACACATACAAAAAATCTTACCCAGAGGTTCCAAGCATAATAAATCATTTCCAACTCATAGCCTTTTCCTTTAACATATTCATATAATTTTTATTAACATAACCACCATTTATTATCCCTTCATTATTAGCTTCTGGTAAGTTGTGTAAAAGGAAAGAAGGTGATTTATCACCATTGTTGGGTTGTACTGGAATTTTAAGTTTGTTAATGTATTCTGAATAAGGATGTTCCTTTCCAACATTAAAGAGAGTCAAATTATATTCTTCCTTCCCAAACATTAAAGTGATCCTTCCATAATTTTTTGATTTTTGTTTTTACATCTTAAAAAAGAAAGAACCAATGATTAGATTAACAAGAAGAAAAAAATAGTATTATTATTGATCAGATGAAAGAACAATTAATCAACATATTACAGAAATAATTAATATATTAAATGGAACCTTAAAACCTAAGTTCATATAAAAGCAATAATGATACTTACCTACACCAACTAAAAAAAGGGTAATTCCAAAATGAATAATAATTAATAGATAATAGAAGAAAAAAAATTTAAAAAATTTAAGTTCAAAGTATTGAAGAAAAAAAAGCATAAGTTAGTTAAAGTTGTATACAGTATATAAACGAAATGGAATGAACAAAAATAATTTTTTTGTGTATTTTTTTCACAATTTGTTCATTACCTTCTCCTTTGTTAAACTTAGTTAATTCTTTCTGCAGGAATACCACCTGCTCCTTCCAATTGTTCATATTTTTCTTCAATTCTTCTTTTTCTTTGATCAATCTATCTATCTGTTTTTCCCACCCTTTCCTCTGCTCTTCATTCCTATCTTTTCCATTGTCTAAATTTTCTTCCAACTCCCATATCCTCTTCTCTTGCTCCTCCAACTTCTTCACTGCCTCCTCATAATATCCTACTATTCGGTTTAATTCTTGTTTAATTTTTTTTTTGTTGTCATTTTTTAGGATTAAAAAGATTTAAAATTAATTATTTTTATTTTTTTTTTATTTGTAATTGTTATGCATGATTTCGACCAATGATAAATTAGTGGGCACATGGCTTGGAATTTAAATGACAAAAGAAATTTTTTTTTAATTCAACTATCATATTCATGAATATTCATTAAGGGGGTTACACTTATCAAAAATCCAAAAATCCCTTAAAATTATGTGTCAATCACTTAATTTTGATAAGTGTAACCCCCTTAATGAATATTCATGAATATGATGATTGTGATCACTACTGATGGATCACGAATTAATTTTTTATAAAAGCAGCGATCGAAATTCGACTGCGCCTCAACATAAAACTAGTCTAATTTTAGTAATTATCTGCAGTTGATTTCCAGATCTGGTTAGCGCATACCAATTCTCCAATTGAATTTTGAACACTGTACAAAAGAAATTAAGAAAATAAAGAAAATAATATCAAGATTTTTTACATCTCATTTCAAATTCAATAAAAAAAATTATTATTAATGTTAGGGAATTGCTATTTCTCACCGGTGGTGATTGTCACCACCTAAGGAATTATACAATTTATGATTAACCACAACCCTAACTCCGCCCCACGCAAATTTAATTCCTTAGGTGGTGACAATCACCACCAGTGAGAAATAGCAATTCTCTTTTTATTATAAAAATAAATCTTAAAATCTTTTATTGAGAAAAATTGGATAAGCAAGACAAAAAAGCCAACCAAAAAGAGACAGAATTCTAGATACATTGTACATGTGGATGAGTATTGTTAGAAGAGGTAAGTATTTTGGGAGCTTTTCCTCTAGTTTATCATTCTAGTTTGCATATTAAAACTTTGATTTATTTGTATTTACTTAGAAAAGTAAAAGTAAAAAAAAAATAGTATATCAGAAGATTTTTTAGAATTTGAAGAATCTCTTTGGGATTATGATCTGGTTGTAGTGAAGCTAGACGGTTAATAATCTGTTTACATAATTTCCAAAATTGGTAATGGATTCTCGCATTACCTTCTGGTTATAGAAATAAAATTACCAATTTAGGTAGTAAACAGCTTAGCCAGTTAAGGATTTTTAAATGGCTAATATCACTATCTGGTTGTAGAAAATATAGACAAAAAAAATTTTTCTAAAAACCAAACATCAAAGTAGTCACAGATCTGCTAATGTAATTAAATGTTGTAAGTAACCACAATAGAAAGTAAAATTAAATAACAATTAAATGAATTCTTATACACTTTTATTACTTATCTATAATCACAGACAAATCTGGACAAATTGCTAACTCATTGACAAACATTATTGTAAATCAGGGTTGGCAAATGTGTGGTCCATTAGCGATCCATCAGGCCCATTAGTGTAATACTTTAATCATATTTTAGTATTTTATTAATGGCAATGGACCAGTCAATTTGCTAATCCTGATGTAAATAATATGAGCCTTGATCAAGATATTGTGTATATAAAAAGACTTTTTTGAAAAGTTGCAAGCATTCATATTTACACTGTTATCATTATTATTAATATTTAAAATTATTTATTTTACACACAACTTTTTATTATTCAAAGCAAACAATATCTTGCATCTTGATGTATTGATTTACCAGAAGGCTGGTATAATAGCAATATAGTCACTCAATTATTTGATGATTGTATGTTGAAATTAACAGAATTTGTCCTTTGGCAGTAATTATTTACAAGACTTATTTTTTGTGCTTTTATTTCATATGTTAACTAACTTTTATGGCCATTATTCTTGAATAGTGGTGAGTTTTCCAGCCAAATACGGAAGACCATTGCAAAAAATTCCAAGAAACAAAAAATATGATGGATTATGTCATTCACCAGTTCCATTGAATTTATATACATAGAAACTGTCACTGCCACAGATCAGAGTTGGCAAATGTGTATCCATTGGTGGTCTATTGGTGGTCTATTGGTGATCCATTGGTCCATTAGTGTAACATTTCAACTATATCTAGTATTTTATTAATGGCAATGGACCAGTCAATTTGCCAACTCTGCCACAGAAGCAACCAAAAAAATGAAAAGATTTACCCAAATTGCATGAAGCCATATCTATTATGTTTCGACAACTGGTAGCCTCCTCCCACTTCCAATGTGAAATGAGGTCAAAAATATACCAATATTAGCTCTTCAATTTTGTGGTGAGTAAATTGACTTTGAATTATTATTTGTCATCATGTTGTAATAGGACTAACAGTAAAAACATTTTTACCAACTTATGTGGAAGGAGTGTGACATCCTTGGGTTTTAAAATTTAAAGTTCTGGGACATACAAGCCTTACCCAAACTCATAATCGCAACATCATACATGCTAACTTTAAGGGCAAGTTAAATTATTTGTAATCAGTTGATTTATATTCTATAAATGACTGATTTTAAATTGTCTTTATTCTTTGAAGGATCGTCTAATAGAATTACATGAATCTTATTAGAAAAGGCACATAACTCACTTTTACAATATTGAACTCAATGATTTATCTAACGTATGGGTGATTTCTAGAAAAATGTGGTAGAAACATAGAATAATTTTTTTTTGTGAGTAACAGTCCTTGCAAAATTGTGTTTTTGATAAACTCAATTCTGGTCAGAGGTCCCTAACCACATATTCATAGCAATCCCCCATATTAATAATATAAAATTGAAATTTATTTTCATCCAATTTGCTTCTTAAATTAGTTTAATCAAATTTGATGATAATTTAAAATGTAATAGATATTTATTTTGTGTATTTAATTGGTGGAATATGCCATCATTAAAATAAATAAATTGAATAGTTTTATTTTTATGATGATCCATATAAGTTTGATGTTTTTTAGTTTGCTTAATGGTTTCAAAGGCTCTATCTAGTTAAGACATGTTGATATAATAGATGTTAGGATATGAAATTCAGATATCACAATTCTCAGATATCTGTAGGTTAGAGTGGTCTATATATGATTAAATATAATTTGATTATAGAGTATGTTTAATTTTAATTTCTTGTTTTTGAACAGGAAGTTTAACCTCAGTACTCATGAGTTTTTCAAAGGAATTTGAAGACCATGGACGAGATATTTCTTGAGGAACAGACATAAATTTTACTTGAGAAAATTTAAGTGGTTTCATTAGCATTGCTTGACCATCTATTTATCTAATCCCTCACCTACAGGCTGTATCACTCTAATTGTTTTTTCTATATATGCACCTGAAGTAGCTGAACCAAATATTTCATAAAAGAGCTTTCTCCAATTTACATTTTAATTCTTGGCTGAATCAACTCATGAGACCTTCATGTACATATATAAACTTGATAAGTCAGTCACTCAATAAGTTGGGTTACCCAATAAGTCAGCCATATGAGCTCACCCCCACATGACCGACTTATCAAGTTTACATATATACTCGGAGTATCCTTTAAATGAAAGGTTTGATTAAAGAGAAGTCAAAGGTAAAATATGTCGATCGATGCACATGATTTCTATTTCTCATCATGTGATCTAAAATTAGCAATTTTTATTGGTGAATATTTAATTTTTTTTTTAACAATAGGGAGAGAAATTATCATATGTTTGATACACTTTGTACCATGTAAACCTTTTTTTTATTTCTCAGCCCAGGGGCGTGAAATTCTACTTCTATTGTAAAATTTCGGAATTTCGATAAAAAATTTTTGGGAATCGGCCATTTTCCGAGCGAAACAAAATTCATTGCCAAGCTCTTTATTTGCTTTTTTTAATAAGTTCAAGCAATAAATATTAGTTAAAAAGACTCGTTGCCTAGGTAAGAAATCATGCAAAATGACAAACAGGTCGCAAATATTTGTTTTCCGGCTACACACGTGTATCTTAACACATTTCGCATCCTGCCTGCCTATTACAATTTAGACTATTCCAAATATGGTTTAGCCACGATTTTTTCAAATTTTGATTTGCAGAGTTTGACGACACTTGATGTCAGGCGACCTCTACTTTGCCAATAAAAGCCAAAATCTCCACATTAATTACTAAAAAATCTATTGAATTACAGAATTTAATTCTAACGAATTAATTTATTGAAAAGCTTTATTGTTTAATTGTTTAATGATTTCTAATAAAAGAAGCCTAGGGACGTTATTGATTACACCATATGTTTTGTAACCGAGTAAATAACTTTATTGTTATTATTTATTATTGAGTTAGTGACAATTTAGAGCCAATTGCGCCGAATTTCACACACACACATATATAGATGGAAAATTTGGCGTTGTTTTTTTTAAAAAACGTTTTTCGAAGAAATCTTCAAATATTTTTAATGAAAAATGAAGTTTGCCAAAGTATTACAATCTGATTCTGTTCCTGAATGGAAGAGCAAGTAAATTATTCAATCAATCAATCAATCAATCCGGTCGATCGATCGATTATAATTTATTAATTTATATTTTATTAAATTTTTAGATATATCGATTATAAAAAATTAAAGAAATTATTGGGTCGTATAAAAAGAACGAGTTCGAAAGGACGCCTAGGTATTATTGAGGGTTCTTTAGCACAATCTTCATCATCAAGTCTGAAAAAAAAAACGAGTCTTATCATCGACAATGGAAAATCACCTTTGGAACAACCTCCAATGCAATCAATACAACCACAATCTTCTTCATTATCAAGCCCGAAAAAAAAATTAAAACTTATCACAAATGATTTTCCATCACCAATAATGCAATCACCAATACAGACTTATCCAGCATCAACTTCGAAAAGAAAATTAAATTTTATCACCGAGAAGGAGGTATGCTTCGAATCTCCGACAGAAACCCTACGAAAGCTACAACAATTTCCACTACGACAAGATAAATCGATGCAACAAAACTTGAGATCAAGACCGTCATATAATTATGGACTCATTAGAAAATTTTCTGACATGATTGCACCTACAAAACGCACTAGCAATGATTTTTGTAAATAATTTTTAGTGAATTTAATAATTTAAATATTCAATAATAATAATGTTTATTTATCATCATCATCACTATTATTATTATTATTATTATTAGATAAATCAAATAAATTAATTTCGGTTGAAACATTATTTGATCAAGTAACAAAAGAAGAACAAGATTTTTTCTTGGCTCTTGAAGAAGAATTATTAAAAATTTGTGAGTTCTATGAAAGTATTATTAATAACTTAATCATGCTTATCCAATAAAGACATCTAAATATTCTTGTTTGTTTTAAATAAAAAAAGTAAAGGAAAAAGAAACACTTAATCGTTGGGAAACTTTGAAAGAATGTTACCAAGATATTCAAGAACAAGTGGGTAATTTTTTTTAGGTAGTGTGGTACAAAAAACTCATGCGCTAAACCAATGACAATTGATTAGATTAAAAAAGCATCTAAACAAAGAAAACAAGAAGCAAAATGTAAAAGAGCAGTAAAAAAAGCCATACTAGAATTTTATAGAGGTGTCGAATTATTAAGAAATTATCAGGTAATTTTGATCGTTTGCTTTGCTGATTTAATGATTTTTAGATTTAAATTTTAAATATAAAATTTATTTTTTTACAAGGTTTTGAATAAGACTGGATTTGCTAAAATATTAAAAAAATATGATAAGATCTCATCGCTAAATGGAACTGAAGTATACATGCCAAGAGTTATTTCGTGTAATTTTAGCAAGTCTAATGTTGTGAATGATTTAATTAAAGAAGCCGAGGTAAATATTTCAAATCATGATAAATTAATAATGTGAAATAAATGAAATGATAATTAATCAATTTATACGTGTTTTGGGGTTGTTGAAAAATAGAATTTTTATATAGATAAATTTGAGGGAGGACTTAGAAGACAAGCAATGAAAAAATTAAGATTGCCAAATAAGCAAACTGTAAGACATATTCTGTTGAAGTGTAAAAATTATGAATTAATCTTTAAATATTCATAATTAATTCATATAATTACGCATATAGACTTATCATTCGGTGTCATCGCGTGTTGGTATGAATATTGGATTGTCAATACCGATATTGTTTAAAAGTTTAGTTTTAGGTAAGAGTATTTTATTAATTTTATTTATCAAACGCTATTAATAATTTAACGACCAATCAATCAATCTTACCACTATTATTTTTAGCAAAATCTAATAGTAATGAATATGATGATGATACATTGAGTAAACTGTTACTTATATATTCTGGATTTTTTTTAATAATAATCTTTGCATTATTAATTGGAACGAATATGTTTGTATGGGAAAGATCAAAAATAAATTATAAATTTATTTTTGAATTTGATCCAAGAAATAATTTGGATTTCAAAGAATATCTTGAGGTAGATAGGTGTTTACTGTTTTTTTATTATTATTTTATTATTATATTATATTATGTTATTATATTATTATTATATTATTAGCTCTATTTTTAATTTTGTTTTTCCTCTATCTTTGTTTTTCTCTGATTTCAATTATATATACCTGATATAGTTGCCATCACTTATGTTGCTGCTATTAAGTTTAGCAATGTATGCAACGTTCTCATCGGATGTGAAATTCATACATCAAGAAAATTTTGTATGGATATTAACTGTGGTATTTATTTCCATAATATTCTGTCCATTAAAAATATTACATTACAATTCTAGAAAATGGATGATCATTGTATTGGTATGGGAAATTAATGATTACGCACTAGTATATCTGTTCTGTTCTCATTAAATTGAGAGTAGTTGACTTAAAAAGAATTTTTTTTTTTATCATTAATAACATTAATATAGTCGAGAATTCTTGGATCATTTTTTTTTCGAGTAGAATTTAGAGATTTCTTTATTGCTGATGAACTTAACAGCATAACATATTCTTTATCTAATTTATTATTATTGATAACAATTAGTAAGTTTCTTTTTTCTTGCTTTATTTTTTTTTTTGAACAAAAAATTTATAAAATATATATATATATATATGTAAAGAACTTTATACTAATAATCTACTCCTTATACGCTTTCTAATCTTCAATTAATTTTCACATCTTTCACGTCATGCTCTCTCTTTTCTATAACAATAATAGAAATACCAAATCCGCAGACTTCAATATATTTTGCGCTGATCGGTGTGGCAGCACCATGGTTTCGATTTTTGCAATGCTTAAGACGTTACAAAGACACTCGACAACCTTTTCCACATTTTGTCAACTCTCTAAAGTACTTTACAACAATAATTTCCATCATACTATCATTTGCCTATCGTTTAACAAAAAACAACAGCGACTACTCGTCTCTTAAATATTTATACATTTTCTCACAAGTGATTTCTTCTACGTATGGTTTCCTTTGGGATATTAAAATGGATTGGTCATTGTTTGATATCAACAGTGTAAATTATTTATTAAGAGATGAGTTACTCTACAAATATAATTCGTTATACTATTTTTCTATTTTGACAGATTTATTTTTGAGATTTGACTGGGTTTTGATTTTGGTGGTAGATCGTTATTATAAAAATTATTTCAATTTTTTGATGTTTATTATTTCATTTGGGGAAATCTTGAGGTTAGGGGAATGATTGCAATAATGAACAGAATATATTTATTGTTGGATGACAATAATGATTTACATCTATTATTTAATAGGCGTTGGCAATGGAATTTTTATCGTGTGGAAAATGAAGTAATTATTTACAGTAAAGTGTTTTTATTGTCATCACCATTTATTATTATATGTTGATTGATTATTATTTGTTTATATTTTTCTTAGCATATAAATAATTGTGGGCAATTTAGAGCAATCAAGGAAATCCCAATACCTCATTCACAAAAATTCAATATTATAATCGATCGAAATAGTAATGACGTCAATAATATTGATAAGAAAAATCTGTTACCTCCTTTACCTTGGACGAAACCCACCATCTACAACAATAATATCAACAACGTTAATAATAATAACAATGATGTTATTATTAAAAATAAAAATAAAGATATTAAAAATTGGAGGGATTTTGAACCAAAACTAAATATTA